GTGCTGGCTATCTAAATGTGCTATGGCGGCTATCTAAATGCTGTGATGGCTATCTAAATGCTGTGCCGGCTATGACGGCTATCTAAATGATATAGTGGCTATCGAAATGCTATGATGGATTTCTAATTGCGAATGCTGTGGCGGCTATGAAATGCTATAACCGCTCTAGCTAAATGCTGTGGCCAGTATCTAAATGCTATGGCCAGTATCTAAATGCTATGGTATGACGACTATCTAAATGCTATGAATGATGATGGTTGTCTAACTGCGTTGACAGTTGGAGAAATGCTCGGGTAATGCCGGACATTTTAGAAGGAGGTGACCGTTTATCAATTGCATTACTAGTATTATCGTTATTGCTGTCAACGTGTATTGACAGATTGGGAGGTAAGCGGTTCACGCTAGGCAGGGGGAGGGGGGAAGTGGGGAGGAAGGGCGGGGAAGGGGGGAGAGGGAAGAAGGGAGGGGAAAGTGGGAAGGAAGGGGGGGGGAAGGGGGGAGAGGGAAGAGGGGAGTGGGAAGTGGGTAGGAATGGGGGGGAAAGGGGGGAGATGGAAGAGGAGAGGGGGGACAGCTATCGACATTGCGGCATCCGGACAGTGTTCGAGCTCTCGACCTGTAGATGTGATTGCTGCTACCGTCTTCCCCCGAACACAACGCACCCTCATTATGAATGTATAGAGACTAGGTTTCCGGTCCGATGCACTCAAAATGAGTGTGCGTTGTGTTCGGGGGAAGACAGTAGTTGAAGGGAGGCACTGTTGAGAGATCGCAGTCGGGGAAATCCTGTACAGAGGAAAGAAGAGAAAAAAAAAAGAAAAAAAATCGTTTACAAAGGCCGCGAAAAGTTGCAATGGCCTCAATATCCCAGTTCGAGTGTACCTAGATAGACACGCTGTCCAGCTTCATCGGCTGCATGGACCAGCCCGTCTATGCTGTCGCCGTAGGTTTTGACAGCGTCACTAAGGTAAATGGAAGCTCCTCAGAGGACTTCCTTCGTTTTGTATTATTCTTCTTCTCATGATTGTTATCATTACGAGATTGTTTTGATGATTAATATAACTACTATTTATATTGCTATTCTTTTTTTTGTTATTTGTTATTAATTACTGTTATTGTTCAGGGATAATTGTACCTGTATGCCCCTGCGCTTTGCCTCATTTGCAGAAATGCCCTTGGCAGAATGCACCTGGACGTCGGCTCCCCCCTCTCGGTACATTCGATTCAGCTTTTGACTTTCCGGATGCTCGTGTCCATCCTGAGGTGGGGCATTTGTGCAAATGAGCGGCGAAGTCTAGGGGGCCTACCTGCCATTGCCCCTTTGCCAATGCCCACAGCCGAGCCGGCATGTGAGCATAGATACGACTCTCTCTCTCTCTCTCCCTCACACTCTCTGGATATCTTTATTGGACTGTCTTTTTTGTCCAATGATTATCATTATTTTATGATCATTACCCCTTTTGTCTTGTTGTCATTAGTGCTATAATAATCATTACTACTTTTGTATTATGATGAGTTAGTCCTCTTACCATTATCATTATGTTATGTTATGACAGCAAGAGATGGAGCGGAAGGAATTGACACGATCCACGTGGCGGTCCAAGGCCTACCGTCTTCTCCTGAACACAACGCACCCTGAGTATGAATGTATACTATCTTTCAGACCCGATACGGTCAAGACTGCGCGCAGGGCCTAATAGGCTTGTGATGTAAAGAGCACGAAGTATGGGTAGCAATCACGTTTCCGCAGGGCTTCTTTTTTCCTAACTTTTTTCCTTCCCCCCCCCCTGTGAGTGTATGTGAGTGGGGAGAGGGGGGGGCGAAGAAACAAAGCTAGCCACTGTGAGTGTATGTGAGTGGTGGCTTTCTGATTGGCCTGCCATTTAGTCCGAAGAGTAGGAGAAAGAAGAGAAAAACTTAAGAACTGAGTGATCCATTCCTTCCCCAACCAATGACCGGGCAATTTTCGCGTGCCTACGAGCGCCAGCAGCTTAGTCACGCGAAAATTGCCCGGTCATTATTTCTACCTATGAGTGCCAGCCTCTCAAAAAAGTTTAGCAGCACAATTTCTTACGCTGTCTCTATACAGCACAGCCTTCGACCCAGCCCGCCCCCCGCCCCTTCCCCGCTCTCCTCAAGACCCTTCCCACCTCCACCTCTCTCAACCTCCAAATCCTCTCCCCCTCGAACCCCCCACCACTTCCAACCCCCCTCCACCCCTCCAAACTCCCACCCTCCCTCCAACCACATCCACACTTTCCGCCAATTCGAAACCTCCACCCCCTCTCCACCCCCCTCCAACCCCACACTGCCGCTGCCTGATGTGGTTCTTGTGTGTGTGCCATTGCAATGCTCTTGTGGCTGACAACAAGAAACCCTTTCTTTTTCACTGCTTGTTTGTGTTCTTTGTCTTTGATCTTGTAGCAAGTGAAGAAGAAAGGGAAGGAGGAACCTGATAAGAAAGAGAAAGAGAAGAAGGTTTTCGATTTGCCAGGGCAAAGATATGAGGCTCCTGAGGAAGTGAGTGCAATGCAATGATCTGCAGCAGTGTTCCTACGGTGTCACTCAATGAGACCGTGATTCTGTAAAGATTCTGTAAATTTGGCAATGTGCAACACTCCTGTCGTGTCTTGTCGTGTCGTGTCGTGTAGTGTCGTGTCTGAGTACTTTGTCGATTCCATTGGCCCCCCCCTAATGGCCGATCTTCCTCCTGCTTGCAACCTACTTACTGTCTTCCTCTGAATAGGATGCCGGTTCTTTTTCATGTCTGTATTGGCGGCTGCTTTCAGGTCAGATGCAGATATGATGTGCAGATGTTCTATTCAGCTGGCAAGGTGGCGCGGAAGGTTGTCCCCTTGTTTCTGAGTGAATTGCGCACAGGAAGTGTTCTTGTTTATTTATATGTGTGAATTGCGCACAGGAAGTGTTCTTGTTTATTTATATGCCTCTACGCACAGAAAATGTTGATGTGTATGACGATATCTGCTATGGTTCCGTTTAGGGTTCATTCAGAGGTTAATTCACCCACCTCTCTCTAGTGGATGGGAGCCGCCCCATCTGCTGTTGGTTGGATGTTCTGTCCTGTTCATGATTTGGTCCTCCAACTTGAGTTAACCAGGGTTTAGGCCGAGTTCTCTGTGGGCAGTTCGCAGCCCGTCAGGGATGTGCTTTCCCCCCCTGAGACATTCAACGTTCAACGTCAATTTCAACGTCGGTGGTCGTCGGGAGGGTGGGCATTTGAGGTTTTTGGGGCCTTGCAAGGGCCAGGAACGCGTAGGACCGGTAGCTGCGAGTAGGAGGCCGTGTGTGTGTGTGTGTGTGTGTAAGAGAGAGAGAGAGAG